AAAAAAAAAAGAGTGGAAAGAAAAATGTGTCTTAAAAATAGCTTTTGTCCAACATAGTCCCTCAGAATTTCACTCATCTGAAACAGATTAGACTTTTTTTTCCGTGAGAGTAGTGTAAAACAGGATTCCTGAAGTTTATGGACAAACATAAATTAAAATGTTTTATCCAACTTTAATGGTGATGATATTTTATTTTTCTCTTTTGGTGAAAAATTCATAGGCAAAACCTAACGGCCCCTTCAGCCATTTACTTTTTAAAATAACTCCTAATGCATTTTTCTTGACTAGAAGATGTCTGAAGGTGTCTGAACTCCTACTGCAGAAAGAAAGTCTAAGTACAGGATCTCCCTGCAAATACCCATGGAAGGTGTGTGGGGATGCTACCCTCATAACCAGATAGTAGGGGTATGTAGGACTACGGTTTCTCCAAGCTTGCAACATGTAACTGAGTTGAGTTTTGACATAAAAGGGCTCTGTGCCCATCCCGAGGAGCTCTGCCCTGTGGAGGACAAGTGGCACCCAGCACCCTGGGCACAGCAGCATGGAAAGTGTTCAGTTTTTAGGCTTGCTGTGGCTGACCAGTTAGCTCCCAACAGCTGGTGTGATAATTTTTAAACATAACCCTTGGTGGCACTTAAAAATTGATTTGTTTGTTTTTTAAAAATGGATTTGTTTTAATTGCTTTTGTGAAAGATCCATTTATGACGCTAGCGCTTTTGCTGAACACAGAGATGAAAAGGTTTCTCCCCTAAATTTGTGTTTTACAGAGTATATGTGTATTAGTATGCATGATGACCTGGCCAATATGCCCTGAGGAAATAATTTGCACTAGTGTGTGGTTCTGCTAGAGAATAATCCTGGCTCCTGTTTCCATGGGCTCCCAGGCAGCAAGCTGTGGATCAAACCATGTGCTGCCAGCCTGCTCTTTTGCCTGACAGCAAAGCCCTGCCTTTGGTTTTGTCACCACTTCTCAGCAATTTCTTAATCCTGTGTGCTTAGAGAATTGGTTAGTCAGTATCTCAAAACCAAAAAATTACAGTAATATAATTACTGCAACACAGCATGAGTGCAGAATCCAGACACACTTATTGAATAAGCCCACAAAGTGCTTCTGTAGTTGCAAAGAATATGTCTCAGTAATTTTCAAAGGTCAACAGATCTCAGTCCTCAGTGAGTGCGTCCTTGTTGCCAATGTGGCTTTCAATTTTCCTTAAAAACCGTGGGAGTACATGAAGAATTTTAGAGTTATGACTTGCCACAAATCTTACTCACTTGGTTTACATTGCGAGTCTGAGAGAATCTAGTTCTCGAACCCTATTCCACCAGGATGGATGATCAAACTTTAGAAAAACTACCTTTTCAAACTGAATTTACTTCAGTTACAAGTATCAGTATAGCCTGTCTTCGTTCTTTCCTTGTCTGTCCAAAGAACAGAAATCTTTAATTTACAGGTTCCAGATTTGTACCTGCACTGACAGACAGAAATTCCACTTCTACAGCTTCCACCTGGGCTCTAGCCTGCCAAAATCACCATGAGGTTTTTCCTGGGTTGCCATGCTACAATTCACTATAAAGGAGACCCGTATGGGATTTCCCTCACTATCTCTGCTGAAAACTAACATGGCAGTTCCTACTCTTAGCAGTGGTTTTGTAACACTGCTGCTCTAAACGGCATTGTTTAGACAAGACAGACTTCTAAAATCTCAAGTGTGCCTCTCTCATCTTGTGATAAACACAGGTTATTCACACGTGGTCCCAATGGAGGATCCCACGGAAATGATCCCGGGTCAGTCCCACCCAGGCCAGCAAAGGCACTACAGGGTGGAGGTTTCCCTGCCCTAAGCTGCAGGGAGAATGCATTGCTCCCCGTGCTGATGTATGTTAACGTGGGATGGAGTGGACAGGGTCTGTTCGCTGTGAAGGTCTTCCCTTCTCCCAGTGGCACCACAGACCTCTGCCCTGCAACTGTAGAATGTGTACCAGTAACCCTCATCTGTTACTGTGTAGAAGGGAAAGTGCAGAGGGCAAGGGCACAAAGCCCTACTAGACTATTTCTCTTACAAGCTTCCCTCACAGCGAAATATCTTAGCCAAGCCGTGTGATTATTAGGTTTCTGTGCTGCATCCATACTAGAGAGGGCATCTAAGGAACAAGAAGTTTGCTTATTTAGCAAAATATGAGCTGCATAAAGCTTGAATGCACATTTAACACAAACCTGCATAAGCACTGGAAGTGCTTCCAAGTCAAAATTCAATCCATGGCCCATACACAGCATGGAAAAATGAGAAAGTCTTCAGTTTGCCCATAAAAGTTTAAGATGTGAAACAGCTGCTCACTTGTAAGGATTTTCTCTGTGCAAGGCAGAACATAGTCTTGACAAAGAAAAACCAGCAGAGAGCAGGGACTAAGCTCACTTTTGTCTTTTCTGGGATGGTTTTCCCCCTGTTAACCTCTGTTTCTCTGGAATGCTTTCACTAAACCACAGTCTGGCTAAAACACATCCCTCTTCTCTTGCACATTTGGAAACTTACTGTCTTAGCTATGCAATGTTGTAAAGAAATTTAGTTCTTCCTTCCAACTATCCTTCAAAATGGCTAATAGTTCTCATAAATTTATCATACTTCGGTATCTTCCCATTCTGTATTTACCAGTTGGATTAAAAAAGGAGGTAATGAGTTGTCTTAATCAGCAGTACATTGGACATTGCAAAAGATCTTAGCATCAGAAAGATTTACAGGAGTTTTTGTCCAATAGGAAGAAATGACTTTCTGATAAAATTATTATTATTAAGAGTGTTTCTCCAGGGTAGCTGATTGTCAGCAGTGGATCTTTTAATGCCCTGCATTTGGTCAAATAATTATATTTAAATATGACATGACAGTAGCTCCAGGACAGTTTATCTAAAGGGCTGTATTTTGTGCTTGCACATTTCATTTGAATATTAGGCAACTTTCACCATTTTGTAAATTAAGCATGAAATTGTAATAGTATTTTAAGTGCCTGCATGTTACTTTGAACCAGAAAACCTCAAGAAAAGTAGATAACTAGCAAGTTATTATTAGCATGTCTAAGTGCATCATAGCCGATTTAAAATGCACTGGAGCAGGTGACTATCTCTGGTAGAATTATATGTATAATATATATATGTATAAATCAAATGTAATTGAAACATACATAGTATTTCAGGCAGTTAGTGGTCTACACCAAAACCACGAGATGATGGGGCCAAATTCTTCCTGGGTGTAACTGAGGTTCTCATTTATGTTGCAGTGACTCCTGACTACCTCTTGAGTCGACAAGAAAGGTGGATCTTTATCCAACATGTTTTAGCAGCAAAGCCTCACCTGACCAGCAGTGTTGCTCTGTGAAATGTTGTGAAGAAAGCTCAAACTGCTGTTCTTCTGGAGAGGGGCATCTTATGCTGTATCATTTTGAGGCCCGGGGGTACATATATGAAATATTGGTTTTGCTAGCTGTGGACTTTTAGCTCATTTTCTTGCAAGGTAACTTTGTGTTGCACACAGAAGTTAAATAAATAAATAAATAAATATTGTTGTAATAAAACCCGGCCTAGCTCTTATCTTGCAATAAAATAAAGCAGCTATTTCAGCAAAATTGTCGCTCCTTACAGGCTGCAGATGGAACTGGTAGCTTGGAGAAAATATTATCAGACCCCACAGTGCCATTTTCTCCTTTAGATTTCAGTGGACTTCAGCCCAGACTTTGTCATTCACACCTGCAATATGGTGACTATAGTTTCCTTGAGACACCCTTTTGACCTGCAATCTCCATTATTGACTCTATTACTCTGAATCAATATTTTCCAAGTTTTGCCTTGATTCCTGATGAACGGAATGGCACAAGGAGATACTTTTGCCTTATTGTCTGTATAAGGGCCATAACTTCAGGGCTTGCTTCTGAACACTTGGGAACAAGTGGTTTGCTGCTGATTTACAGGGAAAGAAAGACAAGGTTTAATTCTTATTGGCTTCTGGGTTGTCAGATACCATAAATGTGATTGAAGAAGATGGGCCATCGACTCTCTTCTCTAATATCTTTCCAGGGTACACAGGGGAGGGTGTTATTGTGACTGAAAATTGATAGTTAACTGTATTTAACCTGATTTTCTGTGAAATGGTAAGATAGTGTAGCACCACTCAGTATTTAACATGATAATTTTAAAATAAAAATATGTTGGTGGCATTTATAATAAACAAAGAACAGAAAACCAAAATTTCTGTGTTGTAAGCATAAAAAGAGTCATGTTCAACTCACTTTTCTTTCTGCAGATACAAGTCTCACTAAACCATGCACAAATACATGCACATGTAAACTAGTGATTCAACATCAATAAATTGCATAGAGCTGCAAATACAGGAAAAAGTTACTATGCTTTGTTAGAAATCCATAAGCAATATTTAAAATTTAATAATATTATTTATATTATTAAATATTATTTTTCTTATTATTTAACTATATTCAATATATAATCCATATTATTAATATAGAACATTATTAGAACTTCGTGACACCTGTAAATTGTTAAGAACCCTTTATAGAAAAACAGAGTACTTCTCTCTTTATAAGTTAGTATAAGCACCCATCACAAAATATACTGGGTATAAATCAGTTTGTTAAGAACAGTCCTTCCATTTGCTGATCAATATTCACACTAAACCCCACAGTGTGTTTGACCCATAATCATCCAGGCATACTGAAGAAAATTTCCATGAAGGAGGAAGGCTAAGAAACTTGTGACTTGACAAACATAATGAATGACATTAAGCATGTGTCATTCATTGATCTTAAGCCTGCAAATACAAATTCTAGCTCTCAGGACAAATGATGGTTTAGGCAGGCAAAATTTTAAATTTACGTGAGCATAATGCCTTAAAAGATTCAAACATTATGTCAGCTACTTGCATTGCACTTGAAAATAAAACTGAAAAGCAGGAAAAGATTTCCCAAAAATTTCCCAGGAAAAAAAAACTAGCCAGTCCTTCTTTTCTTAGTGCATTCATTGATCTTTTGCCCCTTAAAATGAAGACAACCCCATTCAGGTTTTACAACAGCTCTTAGGTGTAAACATTACAGGGGTGTATTGGGTTTGGATGGCAATGTTTTGGTCCATGGTGGAGAAGATATCCACCCGCAGTCCATGGAGGACCCCATGCTGGAGCAGATGTGTGTGCCTGAAGGAGGCTGTGACCCTGTCAGATGCCTGAGCTGGAGCAGGATCCTGGTAGAACCTGTGGAGAACACCTGGAGAGAGAAGTCTACACTGGAACAGGTTTGCTGGCAGGACCTGTGACCACGCAGGGGACCCACACTGGAACAGTTCCTGAAGAACTGCAGCCTCACATTGGAGAATTTTGTGGAGGACTGTCTCCTGTGGGTGGGGCTCCACACTGGAGCAGGAGAAGAGTGTGAGGAGTCCTTCCCCTGAGGAGGAAGGAGAGGCAGAGACAATGTGTGATGAACTGACAGCACCCCTCAAGCCCATATCTCTGGAGGACTGGAGGGGAGGAGGTAGAGAAATCAGAAGTAAAGCTGAGCCCAGAAAGAAGAAAGGGGTGGGGGTTGGGGTTTTGAGGTTTGGTTTCATTTCTCGTTGTCCTTTTCAGATTTGATTGGCAATAAATTGAACTAAGTTCCCCAAGTCAAGCCCGTTTTGCCTGTGAAGCAATTGGTGAGTGATCCCTCCCTGCCCTTATCTCAAACCCTGAGCCTTTCATATATTTTGTCTCCCCCAGCTGAGGAGGAAAGGTATAGAGCAGATCTGGTACAAGAATATATCATTATTTACCAATAGTACATAAGCTTCATTAATTTTACAGCATTTTAAAAGTGCATCTCACACATACATATTTTATAACCTGTTATTCATATCAATCATAGCAGAAGACGTGGACAGGCTGGATCAATGGGCCAAGGCCAATTGTATGAGGTTCAACAAGGTGACATGCTGGGTCCCACCTCTTGGACCTCAACAGCCTCATGCAGTGCTACAGGCTGGGGGGACAATGGCTGGAAAGCTCCCCAGTGAAAAGGGGCCTGGGGGTGCTGGTGAACAGCCAGCTGAACATAAACCAGCAGTGTGCCCAGGTGGCCAAGGCCAATGGATCCTGGCTTGTGTCAGCAGTAGTGTGGCCAGCAGGGCCAGGGCAGTGATTGTCCCCTGCACTTGGCACTGGTGAGGCCACACCTTGAGTGCTGTGTCCAGCTCTGGGCCCCTCAGTTCAGGAAGGACATTGAAGGTGCATGTTCAGAGAAGGGCAACATCTCCAGTGATGGAGCACAGATCTTACCAGGAGCAGCTGAGGCAGCTGGGGTTGTTTATCCTGGAGAAAAGGAAGCTCTCTACAACTACCTGAAAGGAGTTTGTAGACAGGTAGGGATTGTCCCCTTCTCTCAAGTAACAAGCAATGGTACAAGAGCAAATGGCTTTGAGTTCCACCAGGGGAAGTTTAGATTGGCTATTAGGTCACAGACTGCTAGAGGCTGCCCAGGGAAACAGCTGAGTCACCATCTCTGGAGGTATTTAACGGGTGTGTAGATGAGGTCTTTAGGGACATGGTTAGGTGGTGGACTTGGCAGTACTAGGTTAGTGGTTGGACTCAGTGATCTTAAAGGTCTTTTCCAACCTAAATATTCCATTACTTTTTACTTTTGCACTTTCAGTACTACATAACATTCCCATTCAAGAACTGCTCGCTTGTTGATCAACAACAGCCTGAACCTGCTATTACTGTCTCTGTTTAAGGCTAACTGCTTGACATGTTAGCTATGTATTAAATATTTGGATTACATCAAACATTTGGAGAAAGAAATAGTCTTTTGGTTACAGACAAAGTATTACACACTTTGCAAATTACTTTATTTTTTGTTCAGACCTTATTGTTGCCTATTTGAAATGGAAACTTTCATTTATGGTTGTCTTGACAGATCTAATTGGTACTCGAATCCGTCACCTGCAACCAATAATCAGAAGTGAGTAGTGAGCAGAAGAGAGCCCTCCATTATTTGCTAGGTGGCTGCTCTCAATTGTTGTTGAACTTCAATCTCTACAAGGAGTAGAATCAGGGTAACAATACAGGAAACAATGGACAACTCTCCCTAGTATCTGTGATTCAAACTCCTGCCTTTGCAGGAATCCCCACAGATGGGAGTTGTGTTTGGCTTAGAAACCCCACAGTGTACATGCACAAAATTTGCACACTAGCAATTCTCCTGTTTCTGCAGTATACAAAGAATATCAGCAGGAGTTTTTCACGCTCTCCTCTTGACTCTGCGCTAAGTCTGTTATTATCTCTCTCCTCTACCAACTAGATTTGAAGCAGAGACTTTGTGTGGCAAAAATACTTTTCACTACTGTCCACATTGCAGTTGTATGCAGAGGTGTGCACTGCTGTTATCCATCTCTTTCTTGAGGATGTTCACAGAGGGGACTAGAGTCAATGGCAACTGCTAAATTGAGCCCTGTGGTCTTTAAGTGCTTTACCACCAAGTGGATTGGTCTCCTAACCCTGTCAAGAAATGTGAAATAGTACAGCAGTGCTTGACACAGTGAACAGACCTTTTGGAACCAATATCAATCAGAAACTACTCCCCAAACAAGGCATCTGGCATGAAGCAGGTCTAAGAACATGTGTATTTCTTTTTCCTTGTCATGTAAGATAGTGATAAACTGATCCGCTTCATTTTCTCTGTCCCACTGTGTCAACCCTTTTAGACCACTGATTCAACACTCTCATCAGCATTTCTGTCATTACAGAGATCTTACATGTCTCTAAAAATGTTTTAACAAGTAGTGTTCCATCAGCTTCCCAAGAATAACTGTCGATTTAACAGGTTACTTCCTCTCAGCTGGAAGAAACTCTGCCTTTTACCTGATCAACAGTGAAACTCATCTTTACCTGTCAAGGTTAAAAGAGAAGCGCTGAGTGCCAGTGCTGTGTTCCAGCAAGGCTGGCCAGGTCTGCTGTAATGTCCCCAAGGTGACTGGGACACACAGGCTAGGATGGCAGCTCTGACAACCTCGTGCAGAAAGCAGGTTGTGTTCTTCACTGCTTCTGTAGGCCAGCTTGCTCAGCTGAAATGACTGGTCAGACTGAAAACTGAGTAGTCTACTCTTTCCACATCTCCTCCTCCTGGCATTGAAGGTTGGTCTCAACAATGGCAGCAGCCTAGTGCCACCTTGTGTTACAGGAATCTGCCTCCTCCCCTCTGAGATAGCTTACATCTACCAACCAAAGTCAGGGAAAAAGCTTGCATTCATTTTCAGATATGAAAACAGTGCAAATAATGGGAATAAGAAAACCTGTTGACAGAATTACTGTCAGATTCCCTTTTGCTATCACACTGATAAATTTTCTTTGGGATTCCATGTAAATCACGGAAATATTTCTATCTGCCCTTTATTTTTTGTTGATTTTTCAGTTTTCTCTATAGTTCTTGCCACATATTTCTCTATTAAATGCATTAGCATTTTAAGGCCTTTGCTGGCATCTGTACACTTATGCATATCTGTACAGATATGTAACTGAACTATATAAAATGTCATGGCACTTGATCCTTCTTACCAATTGCCATTGCTCCATGATCATCTTGTCACTGTGAACTCACTGCAGAAGCCAGTAGGTCAGAGCTGTTTATCCTTCTTGCAAGGACAGCCTCTCTTCTGCATGGCTCTGCATATCCTTAGTAATACATGATCTTCATTAAACTTGTTAGCCACACAGAAACATGCAATCGCCACAGTGGAAAAGAAAAACACAATAGACTTCAGGTCTTTCACCTGAATTATCATATTAAATGTTTTGATCAAGTAATATTTAATTGGTTGATGAGGCAAAAAAATAAATAAAATCTTTACTAATTTTGTAGTTATGAATTGCCTTAGACAATGCGAAGTGAGGATTGTTTAGTGCACATTATAAAATGCAAAGCCATTTTGGAAATGATGTTATTCAGTGTATAAGGAATAATCTTCCAAAGGACAGTTTAGGGTGGGCAAAATTTCTTGGCGGAAATTCTATTCATTTGGAGGAAGACAGGAGTTATTCACCCAGTGCAGCCTCACCTTGAACATTGTGTGCAGTTTTGATTGCCACAATCTAAGAAAGATATTAAGTTATCAGAGAGTGTCCAAAGGAGGGAAACAAAGATGGTGAAGGGCCTTGAGGGGAAGCTGTGTGAGGAACGACTGAGAGCACTTGTTCTGTTCAGCTGGAGAAGAGGAGACTGAGGGGAGCTCTCACTGCAGTTACAACTTCCTTGTGGGGGGAACAGGAGGGGCAGGCACTGATCTCTTCTGTGTGGTGACCAGAGACAGGACATGAGGGAATGGCCTGAAGTTGTGTCAGGGGAGGTTTAGGCTGGGTATTAGAAAAGGTTCTTCCCCCAGAGGGTGGTTGGGCACTGAACAGGCTCCCCAGGGCAGTGGTTACAGCACCAAGCCTGACAGAGTTCAAGAAGGACTTGGATGATACCCTCAGGTCCATGGTGTGACTCTTGGGGATGGTCCTGTGCAGGGGTAAGGGTTGGACTCAGTGATCCTTGTAATTCCCTCCCAAATCAGTATATTCTGTGATTCTGAAATACCCTTCTGATCATTATTTCAAGGAACTGAACCTATAGACTTTCAATTTTTAGAATACAGATGATGTTTGAATAGATTACAAGCACAGTTTGCATGTTCTTCACTTACCCTTAAACATGAACAATAAGAGAGGTATTAAACCTTTCCCAAATACCTATCACATCATATTCCAGGGGCAGATAGATGTCACTGCAATTCGGTGAGTAGAGCTGAGGTCTGGAGAGGTGAATTGACTTGTCCAAGGTCATCAAGTCTACTGGTAACAGGGCTAAGAATAGACTCTGCTGAGTCTTAGCAGAGCTTTCTGGTCAGTAACCCTTCCTACAAGTTATGAATAACTCTCTTGAATATATGTATGCTGCATATAAGTGGGCAATAAAGACACAGCCTAAGCCACATGGAAAGATTAACAAAAATGTATAATTGTCCATTTTGATGCGTGGACATCTATACTTGCTTGTCTTTAATAGCATTAAAACGTGTGCATTTTTATGAATCCAAAGATGTGTTTGTTCCCTTTTTAGGGGATAGAGATCTTGCAAAACTATCATTTGAACACTGCAAAATTCCCAATCTTTTAGGTCACTTTATTTGGGTGGCAGCTCTTTAGGGGGGAATTTCCATGGTTCGGAGAGCAGTACTAATGAGCTGCAGTTCATTATAATGAACTATAACTTCTGTAGCCTTGAAATTGAAAGAGGCAGTGAGGATGAGGCAGGAGGAAGCTAATGGGGTGAGAAAACAAACATAGATTAAAGGTGTGAGGTAGGACTACAGTCTGTTTGAGTCCTGGTTTAGTTACAGGAAAAATGGTCAGACTTGTTCCAAAGCAAGAGGGAAGCAGCTGAGGCTGTATCAAGGTCCAAAGTATAACAAAAGGTCAACCACAAACCGAAAATATTGAGCTGCCACCTCTCTTCACTGCTGTGGTTATACTTTCGGAAAGCCCCATTACACAAATCCCTGCTTGCTGGGCTGAATAATGCCATTAAGTTGCTGTCTGCTCTGAATGAAACTGTGAATCACTGATTGTATGTGATGAGGCTTCCTGCATACAACTCATGCTGCAGTTCCTGTGTATAAAATAGTTTTCTCTCAGCGCAGAATATTCCAGCTCAAAAAGTTGAGGTAGCTTTATTTGTGAACTGTCCATGGGTATTCCAGAGATGCCCATTTATTCCAGCTATTAGTCTGTTGGTCTGATATTGAGGGAGAGGAAAAAAAATGAGTATGCATCTTGTAGGATGTCAGGAATGTGACTGTAATAAAAATGTTCCCTGCTTGAAATATAACAGGCCTTTCAGTGTAATCTGAAGGCCTGCTGTTCATTTAAATTACCCACTGTGTGGGCTGTGTGCCATTATATTGTGCAACATGTAAGGAATAGAAAGAATTTGCTTTCCTTTAAAGAAATAAGAATGTTAACATAGAACATTTTCAGAGTAGCATAATCACATTTATTTAAGAAAATTAGTCCTTTAAAAATGAAGAAAAAGACTTATACCACTTATACAAGCTGATCCTGTCCCTTTCTTTGTCACGGTTATTTTAATGCAAGTTCTTATTAATATGAAAAATTATGGCTTTCCTTGGAGCTTTAAAGGCCTCAAAAGACCTTGACTGTAACCATGATCATGAGAGTCTTTGTTCAGACCATCAGCTAGGTACCTGCTAAATCAAAACTTGAGTCCCCTGAACAGTTCTGTTGAAGAAAGATAGTAGGTGTTGGGTGCATGACTTCTGTTTATAGGCTCTGGGTCATTTAGAGTATGTCTCAAGAGCACAGTGAATAAATCAAAGAATCACAAGAGTATTCTGAGTTGGAAGGGACCCACAAGGATCATCAAGTCTGACTCTCAAGTGAATGGCCAACATAGGGATTAAACCCACAATCCTGGCATTATTAGCTCCGGGTTCTAACAAGATGAGCTCCAGTAACTCAAAAACTTTGACTTGTTAAAGATGTAACTTACAGAGTGGACTGTACAGAGGAAGTTGAGCCTGTGTCAAATAAGCTAGCTCCAAAATCA